GAGTAAGATTAATATTGATTGGGGTTATAACGCTTTAAAAAGGAGTATTAAATTTCACTTTTAATCTCTCTTTCGTCGGAGACGCTGCTTCAAAGTAAGACGTGGCTTGACACCTTCGAATATCTCAATCGATCTCAATTTCTCCTCTTCGTACATCAACCTAGCCTTTTCAAGTTTTCTAGCTTTCAGGACCAATTGAAAAAATGCCATTTTCTTACTTTTCACACTTACTTTATCCAATATAATATTTTTTCTATTCTACATTGAAACGTTTATATGTGTCTTTTGTAAATTATGTTAATTAATGCTAGCTAATAAATAACTACGATGAAAACGTCACGTGATTACTAAACGTCACGATTCCAGCATAAATTGAAGTTTCGAGCAATTTATATTTTCCATCGCTTTTGATTCTTCATTGTTTATGTTTTATTCATAAATGCGGCTTATTTACATAATAACATAATGTTCTCTTGACAATGTTATAATTACATAATTATATAAGCTATCTTATAATTACGAGAACTATTTTATAATTACATAAATAACTGAATAGGTAAAAATATATTATTTTACATTCTATTTTAAAATAAATTAGAATTTATCCAAGTTCCTTCAAGTTTTTAGTTTCAATGAAAAATAGATTTATTTTATATGCCGAAAAGATTTCTTCCAGTGAGACGAATTACAGACACTCTGTAACATAGTCTGATATGTTGAAGTTCCAAGTTTTGTTACCAACAAATGATCACAGAGGCAGGCGTCGGCAGATGAACAAGTAATGATAAAAGGCCACGTGTTACCAGTTCTGGTTTTATCAGGAATTTGAATATGAGGGCAATGTACATAAAGTAGGTTCCCCATCTGCGTGATTATAAATAATATTATTTTGCATCATGATACATATACGTAAGCAGAAAAACTGAGTATTGCAGAAACTTATAAATATAAACTAAAAAAGAGCTCAAACTCTGTAATTTCGAGTTTGAAAGCGAAAAAAATTGAAATGAACTCATGCCTTTTTATCGCGCTTATCATGAATATTAAAAATATTTAAAAAAAAAAGATCTAATCATCACTCTAATATTTTTACAATATATTTGCAAGGGATTTTATATTTTTACATTATTTGGATCATTTCTGACTGATATCCCGGATCAAGATCTGGATTCAGAAACTATCCATCGAGCCTCTTGTCTGTCGAGTGTTCGCCAAGACTCCGCTCTACGTCGCCAGCGTTGGTCTTCGATTCTTCAAAGAGGACCGCACGATACCTCCGCTGAATGTCGGAGCGAGACATCGATGTCACCCGCGCCGCGGGCCGACGAAGGTGGGCGTCGAGGTCGCCCGGAGAGGGGCGCGCAATCTAAACCCGATAACGAGCCAGCTGGCGGCGGCAGTGCCGTCGTTTACGTGGAGGTCTCACGACCTTCGCGAGAACCCGCTTATGCTGGTGGGGCCTGTACCGGATCGCTTTTGAAAGGTCGCAGCTTGTCCTGGGAAATAAATCGCTGCCGCGAACCGGTACCACTCGCGACACGGAGGTGTTCGCGTACCCCTCCGAGGAGAGGCAGAGCGCGAAAGACGAGGGACGAGGGAGGACGTGAAAAGAAAAGGAAGAAAAAAAAAAGGAAATAAACATGCCGTGAACCTCGCCAGGTGACAATGCGTACGACCCGACGAAGTCGACGGTGCTCATAGCGCGTGCGGCTTTCGATCGCATGCGAGCAACGCCGTAGACACTCCGTCGCCGTTGTCGCCGTCGTCGCCGTCGTCGTCGTCGTCGTCGTCGTCATCGTCGACGTCGTCTTTGCCGCGCGTGTGCATGTGTAAGGTGTGCGGTGGTACGCGCGCATGATCGTGTTGTACCTGACCTGCGTGCGGCGGTGATACCTCCTGATCCAGCTTCTACGTGCCCGACACCCTGGACCGATCGCGATGACTACGAGGGAGCTCTACGTTAAGGTATCGTGGGACTGGTTGTGGGATATCGCGCGCATCCCCGAGGAAAATGGCAGATCTCTCCTCTGACGTAAATAAAATTGCGCGCCGAGGATTCTCGCGCGCCGTCGTTTCAGTCCCCCCCCCCCAGAGGGTGGGGAGATTGACGCTGCGCTTCAAGGGGATGTTTCAGTCCAGTCCGAAGCATGATCAGAAGTTTCGGTTTTCTCGTGAATCTGAATCAAGGTCTCCGAATGATTCTGTAGACTAGAGGCGCGAATAATGGAAGACGGGAATAGGGGTAGTTGCTCCATCTTAAAAATTGCCAAGAGATCTCAGAGACGAATGTGAAACGCGCCTTTAGATCAGAGTAAAAAAGAAAGGGTTGAAATGTAATAACTAATTATTTAGGATAGACGGTAATTTTCAAGACATTATATTTAAGATGGCATATTATACGTGCCGCTGTAATTTATATAGATATCTAAAATTATCTGGATTATTCTAGCCGTCTATACAACATGTCGGAGTCTCACTTGATGTGATTTAATTGCATATATCAACCAGGAGGCTTATGGAGTTGAAAATGTCTCGGTTAATACAATCAACGGTGGGAATTACGAGAATAATCTCGGCCACACTGCGAGTTTATGGTTTGCGCGTGCGAAACCGTGATCTGACTCCTGTTTTTACATACCGTTGAACGTTAAACATAACGTTTCACGCCTTTGACATTTGGAGTGAACGTATCCTTCTCGCGGTGTCAACTCGGGTATAACTCGCGATTCAGGAAAATTGTCAACCCGTTCCAAGTTTCACTTCATTTTTACACAAATATACATATATTTGGAAAGGCAAAGTTCCAAACCTTTAAAGGCGCGAGTCTTTTATTGCGCAACGATAAGATTAAATGAGAATTATATAATTATTCTTATTGTTATCATATCTGCACACGTATACCATGAATATGGGTCATCCCGTTTACATAATGTGCATGTCATTTCCACGACATATAACAGACACGTTGGAGAAAAAATTCTGTTTCTCATTCTGTTATTCCTTTTTATTCTCATTTGAATCTAACGGACGTTTCCTTTGTATTTAATTATGCAGGCTATTATTCTCACTTTCAAAGGATTTTTTTTTTATTCTCCTCTCAATGAGCATCTTGATACGAAGCACAATCACTTGCCGTCGTTCTGAAAACATTTATTTAATCATCTTGATGAATTGGCTGTTTTCGAGTTTTGTTTGATACGAAACGCGAGTAAACAGATTCTTAAATTTCACCGACTTACGCATATCTTTAAACTCAAGCTTACGCTGTCATGTAAGAATCAACAACATTGACCTGACATTCTACGTGAAGCATTCTCTCTCTGTTAAGTTTAACGAGTTCTATCAGTTCGTGTATACATACGCAACACAATTCAAGCGATTAACGTGAACATTCTTTTTTGAGAAAAATTTATATTTCTTACACAAAAAGAAATCAGTCTTAAGTTAAAAAAAATATTCTCATAAGCAAGGATATTATAATCTTCTTGAAAATTTTAGTCTTGATTTGAATTCGTATTGATGCAAATATTATTATCTTGCTCAACTCGAGATTAAAAATCTTCTTTATGAAAATTATAATATTCTTACTTATATGTATATGAGACTATATGATTGATTTAAGACTAATTTTTTTGTATACAATTTTTCAAATCGTAAGAATCTATATATATATATATATATATATATATATATATATATATATTATATATATATATATATATATATAATTAATATATTATTTCTTATTAATACAACGTAAATCGATAAAATCCACTTTCTACTTCTTCATTTTTAAAATGATGAAGAGATTAGATTATTTGCAAGATAGATTGTTTACATTAAAGTGTATTGATGCATTCTGATTCAAACTGCAGTAACTTGAGCGATAAAAGATAAATATTTCGCTCTTTGCATGCATTACTAAATAAAGAAAGATGGAGTGTTTCTCGTGCCTTCGGGATTTCTTTTCGAAACTGAAATCAATAACTGCCAGCGAGAGAATGCCTCCATTGCCGGAGAGACCTAAATTCTGGCTTATACCAAGTGGCACGATCGTAGAAACAGCAGCATCGCGATAATATTTCGTTAACACTACGATTACGATTACAACGTATTGTTTTCCAAGTGCTCGATAAGATGCACTTCTTATCATGGCGGAAAAGTTAATTGCAATTAATTTAATTGCTTTGAAATTGAGACATTTAATTGATAAATTATTACTACATAAAAAAATATAAATTAATGTGGAAATAAATTAAGGCGATTTACAAAACAATAATTTCTTTCCGGTAGAATTATTACTAGCAGCAACTTTGAATGACTGAATGGCTGAATGACAACTCGACTGTCACTGACAGATCGTTAACTGTCGCGTTTCCTACACAATCATGAATTATGTTAACTGAAGCTGAAATCGGGACATTCCTGTCACAATCGATGACAATTAATCATTGATGATCTCGCAAATGTTACATAAAAATTAATTTTTGCTTCAAGATGAATATAATATTTGAAAACTTTGTCGAAAAGGAAGTAACGTGTCGATGTTACTCATACCGTCATCTTGACATTAATGTTCATTTCTACCAATGCAAATTAATTTTAATTTCGGTTTAATTTATTATTTTTTTCTAATTTTAAAACTAAAATAAATATAAAAGTAAAGTAAGTTAAGATTAGTAAAAGTAATCTACTAGTTGATAGATAAATGATAAATCTACGAACAAATTGAAGCGCGAAAAATAATACGGCACATAATAAATGCGCTTTGGGATTAAATGCATGTCGAGTAATGAAGATTAGAAAGCGCTATTGCCTTCGGTTTATGCTATTCCCTTTAAGCCTGTGACGCTTCTCTCCGATGTTGGTGGTTGATTTATCGGTGTGGCCAGGTGAGCGGCGGGGGTTGTCCGAGGTCGGGCATCATGCTTTTTGTTATAACAGGTTCTCGCTTCTTCGGACTTGTAGGGGGAGAAAAAATGTCGGAAATACCACGCCGACAAGGCGAACACCGCTCCTTGAGTGCATTGATCATGCCGATTCGAGCGAATTTCGAGCAAAGCTATGATTATGCAGATCTTTGAAGAATTTTG